TGATGAAAAGCTCTTCTCGTAAATACTTGGTGGCATTCTAGAATTTGATGAAAGTCACAACACCTAGGACAGATCAGAGACTTGGATTTTTTTTTTTTTTTAATACTAGACCTTTCACTTTGTTCAAACTTACAATTCATATACACTGACTGGCTTATAGCTACAAAGAGACTTATCAAAGACTTTTAAATATCTTCATTTAACGTTTTTTTAAAGCAATTTTTGCCAGAGATCCAGATTGAGAAATTCTCAAAAGTATTTTCGGTTATCTAAGCAATGCTAAAAATGAGAGTCACTGCTCTCCTTCCCTAACCAAAAGGCCTGATGTTTCAATTGAAAAATAAACTAATTGCCAGAAGTGCACAAGGAAGAAACAGAAGTATTGAAATATTGAGCAACCTCTCTCAGTTGGATAGCAAACTGCCTCTATTTGAGGCACTGCCTCAAAGGACTCTTCCTAGCTTCTATCTTTCATGTGTTGTTTTTCTTTCAATTATATATTTCTATGTCTGTAATTTTCCACAATACTTTTGATCAGAAACTCTTTTAATCAAGTTAAAATTTTGAAATACTCCTAAAAACTGAAGATTATTTTAATTGTTCAAAGACACAAGCTACATTCAATTTTGACACTGTAAAAGAAAGTCTAGCAGTGTGCAACCCAGTTGATTAAACATCAATAAAGACAGCGATATTAAAGTTTTAAGTCAGAGAAAGTGTTTGCTTACTAACATCACGACTGGAGCTTTTAGATGGCACCACAACACAAGCAATATGCGACTCCATTAAACATACTCCACATTTCTATCCATTTTCCTCTTCCATTGTAATTCCATATATATTTTCCTACTCTTTTCTTCAATCTCCACATTTCTTTGCAAGTGCATTTTCCCATGTCCCCAGATTTCTCACTCTCAAGTCTGACTCACTGGTTCCTATTATAAGCGTTAACAAAATATCCCTTAAATTACTCTGAGAGGACTGTTGCTTGTGCTATGGGATTTAATGCCCTCCTCCGCAAGCAGAAGTGGCAGCTTACCAATACACTCCTCACTGTGCAACGTACAGAGATATCCAATGCCAGACTTTAAACTGCTCAACAGCAAGTTTTAAATCATCCTGCTGAGGAGTCTGTAGGGAGACATACCAGTCTTTCTGCAGGGGGAGATCAATGAGCTGTGGAGACATGCTGGCCAGGAATCTCCCTTTCATCTAGATATACAGTGTGACACACCAGGTGCCAGCTTAACTGCTATTCTTACGGGAATGGGCAATTTTTACATTTGAGAAACTAGGGTTTTTTTGCCTTTTTTTTTTTCTTGAATGTATAGATTATTTTTAATGTGTCAGAGATTTATTGTGGCAGTTAAAAGGTTGAATAAAGCTAGCCAAAGGAAATTCTCAAGCTTAGTATGATGCAAGATGCAACTTAGAGAATTTTACCATCATCTTCGTCTGGCCTATGAACTGTCCTCCACTGGCACCACTGACACAGTTTTTCCTCTGTTCAGTGTCATGCCTTTTCATAAAGGTAAGAGCCAAACTTGCCTTTATGAAAAGACAAGAGCCTATGAGAAACATTTACCTTTTGCACATACTTAAAAGGTGCTTACACCTGCTCAATGCCACCCCTTCCCCCACGCCCAAGTTTTTCCTTCTGCCTAGAAACACAACTTTAATTCTCCCTATATTTGCAAGCTTGCACAGGCTGTCTGGAACAACAAACAATCTGAAGAAACCATCACTTAGGGCAGGAGTGAACAAACAAGTGTCAGTATTCCATTTATATGCAGAGAAAGTGAAGATACAGCTGTGGCTCTGCAAAAATGCTTCTGCCTCTTCCTAGTAAGGTCTGAATCTAAGGTCTACTAACATTAACCTTCGACAGCAATGCAATCAAGTATTGTTTTCTTCTGATTTCATTTAAACATAAAAGTTCTTAAAGGACTGACTACTCTTTGTTACTATTGGAAGCCAGGGCGTGTTCCCAATCTATAAAGAAAGGATAGGGTTACAGTCCTAAAAATAACTCATTGCTGTCCACACAAAATGGTATTTTCTAAGTAATTCTATTTTTAGTTACTATCTATTTGCAAACTATCTTTGATTGCCATGTACAGCAGCTTTTTTGTTGTTGTTGTTAATTGATCATTGCTTTTCAAGGCTTTCTTTTGCAGTGATTTAAAAGGTGTTGCCTCATGAACTCTTGTAGTTGTTCAGTCATAGGAAAAGTTCTAGGAAAGTAGTAAAGTCTGGGCCTGTAGGACTTTGCTCAACACCAAGAAAAATGAAAATACCTCTTGCTCCAGTGCTTCACTGGAATAATGCATTTAATGTTGAATATCTCAGAAATACAAAGAAAACAAGAAAAAAAGGAAATAAAGATATAATTTAATAAGAAAAGAGTTACCATATTACCTTTGACAGTTCGCATGAGACACCTGCTGTCTCTACAGGAGAAAAAATATGCATTTCAAGTTTGGTAGTATGATCCCTTAAGAGTTGTCTTAAGAAGGTAAGACTGTGTCACTGTAGCTGTGCATTATCTAAAAACAAATATTCACGGGGCAACATACCTCATAGATTAGGGTATGCAGAAACTAAAATATATGTACAGATTAGGAGAATTCTGAACTGTTGCTCTTTTCTGCAACAACACTGAAAAGGAATTAATGTGCATGTCATCTCTTCTTGACTTTCTTTGTGATCACATATAGAGTTCAAACTATACTGTTGGATAGTATTTAAGAGTTTTCAGAGTACAAACACAAAAGCATAGCCTATCATGACACACTAAAAATAGAGTGAAAAGACAACAAGATGAATATTTAACAATATGCAACAAATCAGGCCCTATTTGTCTTACATGGGTTACTGAGAAAAAAGTTATATTACTTTTATAATTTTAATTCTAAAGGAAACATCTTTAGGATAAACAGCACAAGAATTTCTATCTAAATTTTTTAGAAGGTTACAGATAGCTCGGATGACAATTTTGATAGGAATGTTCCATAGCCTTGACTACAATGTAACCACAAAAAAAAAACCCAAACAACAAAAGTATGTTTAGGAAAACCTTTTGGCAGATGTATGCTTTCACTGTAATTTTCAGGTGCATTTTTCTTTTTATTGCTACTGTATTTTACAGTTTATCACGCATAATTTTCTCTACAGCTGTTTTTTTCCAGTTCTGCTTTATTTCAACTGACAGAATTGAGTGAAAGCAGTAGAAAATTTTGGAAAAAAATATTTTGTTTTTAACCTCATGTCATTTCCCTTCTTTTTTTTTCTTCATCTTGGAAAGAAATGTGAAGTCTGACACTTCAGTGTTTATCTTTTGCACATAAATGCCTGGCAAATCAATATACAAGTTAAAATGCTGACTGAAAGGTGTTTAAAATAAGAATTGGCTGGCTGCTTTCTTTAAAGTACATACAGTTTTAATGTATCAGTAACAGAAAGTAACACCACCTTAGGAAATATCATATATGAGAAGCCTTTGCGAAAATTATTTTAAAACAATGTGACTCATATCCATAGAGACTAAATACTGAACAATCACTGTTAACATGTAAATCCTTTGCCTACACAGAAACCATGCCTAAACTATTCTAGAGACACAGCAAAAAGGTTTATTAAACTGGAGTGATGGGAGAAGAGGGAAAAAAGGAAAAAAAAGATTAACCCCAAAAAAGGAAGTAAAATGAATTTGTATATTTTATAAATTATGGTCATAATGATATAGTACGCAGCCTGGTGAATAATTGCTTTAGCAGCTAAATGCCTGTGTTGGAAACTGAAGATAGATTTAACTGTCAACTCCATTCTCAAGAAACATACGTAATTAGTTAATTTCGAGGCTGACAGTCAGTAAAATGAAATATATCCCCAGATTGCTGCATGGTATACAGTACAGTATAATGTTTTCATCATCTTGCAATAGGAACAGAATCCATCTTTCCTGTGAGACTACTCATTCCAAATTGCGTCCACTTATTCTAAACGTATATGGCATACATGACATTGATCACATCGGTGCCTAAGGAAAGCTATCAATAACTTCCAAAGCCAGTAATCTGATGTCTGTGACATTTATACAGGCTGTGTTCTCTTGAGAAAAAAAAAAAAAAGAAAAAAGAAAAGAGCTATTCTTGTTAAGTTACCTAAACATGAACTGATATCAATCATTTACAGAACCTAAAGCTTCAGTCCTGCTAATGTGAAGGCACAGCAGTAGCTTCATTATCTGTACACTGAGATCACTCAAGTTGCTAACAGATGCAGAATTATGTAAGACTGTCTACAGTTTTTTTGCTTGTGTTTAAATTGTCCTTTTATAGCACATATTACTTTTTAAAAGTGATTAATTTGTGGCATTGTCTTTATATACAAAGAATGATCACAATGTAATATTTTATGCAGATGAGAGCAAACTCCGTAGTTCTTTAAATACATGGAACAGACAAGATGGCTAATTTTTCAAAACTATGTTTATATTTCTTTACATCAGTTATGCTACATGGACATATGATCACAACGCTGTATTTACAGTATTGTTTAGTTTGATTTTTCTCTTAAGGTGGGGTCAAAGTGACTTTCTCTCCTCTCATCTGCTTTTTTTCTATTTTCTCCAACTTAATTGGACAAATATTTACATTGTTTCATGTCTCAATGCCTTGACTTGTTTTCAGGAAATATGTGAACGGGAAATATTTTATCAATTTTCAAACCGGAAAGAAGTCTCCTATTGCTTGGATTCACAGAGGCATAGCAGTTACCTGGCAGCCTACCAAAACCATCAGTTAACAGACTTGAAAAACTTTATCATAAATTGATATTAATGTCCCATTCAAAAATTATGATTGTAAGGAAAAAAAAGTTCTGTTAGGGAAAAAAAGAAGTGAGAACGTCCCTGTGCTAATGAAGTGATAGTGACTGGTTTCCATGTGATTGCTCCCAATAACATTCCCTGAGAAAAGCCTTTGAACAAACAAACTTACCTTTCTTGAAGAATAAGTTTGTTTTCTTTCTTCCAGAAGTCTTTGAAGTCAGAACTGAATTCATGCCAAATATTGAAGAAAGAATGTGGGGATACCTCTTTCTCTCCCATTTTTGGTTTCATACAGAAATAGGCTGCAGTTTCCAAAAAGCTGTCAAAGAAAGAAAGAAAAAAAAGAAAAATGACAAATGTCTCACTAACTACAGGTGCAGAATTCTTTCCCTACTTAAAACTGACGCAACATTTAATTGTTCTTGGTAGCAGATCTAAAATACAAGAATATAAAAACAACAGTTCTTAGGTCTTCATACACAGATAGTTACATAAATATGATTCTTCAGCTAAATGGGGTCTGGCATTTATCATACTGTTTTGGTGAAAGGATTTTCCATTTCAAAAGCTAAAAATCAATGCACTTGGCTGAGCCCTGCAAATCCAGATATCCACACCTATACTAAACACTGTTTTTCCGTTGTATTTAAAGTAAAAAGATTTTCAAAACACAGTTGCAACATAAGAACTTTGTTTTTAGCCTTTTCAAGTCCTATTGAATCTACACTGTGACAAAATTAGATAGGTATTTTAGATGTGAGCATATACAGAAAGATTGAAATTCACATTTGTGCAATGGAAATCTGAAACAGGAGCAATTGTGCTAAATAACAGGTATCTCATTCTGCAAGAATGATCCGACATTTGCCTCTGAACAAGGCAAAAGCAAAGCCGCATACTGGAGATAGATCTCTTGTTAGAACTGCTACTGAAGTTGAAGGTTACATTTGTAACACACATTAAGAACTATGACTGCAGTGAAATTTAATAGAGTTCTGATTTCAATTGCTTTTACTTATTTCAAATTTAAGAATGTGCAGAAAATTTTGAAATAATTCAAAATCTAGTTGCTTAACTAGTATTCCATTTCATTTTTGATGTAAAGTTCTGTAAATATTGGAGCTTTCAAGAACGTATTTCTCACCTGAAGCTCGAAACAGACATTTCATCTAGATAACTTGCTCACTGAACTATTACTGTCCCATGACCTCTATGAAAACTTTCTATGACAAAACATAGAACTATCAGAAGTTAAAATATGAAGCTAAGACCTGAAAAATGACAACAAAATGAAAGGAATCAAACAATGAATGGCCTTCCTAAAACAGGAAAACAAGACAAAGTTCACACTGTCAGAATTACACTGTAAAAAACAACAAAAAAACAAACAGGAAACAAAAAACAACGGTCAAAAATAAATATAAAACACCAAGGAACTCGTCAAACATTACCAGCACTAACATTTACTTTCTGGAGACCTGTTGGAAAGCCAGTGTTTTTTGTATTTTTTTTTTGCTTCCAGTGAGGACTACTTATGCATGTATACAGCTATGGTTAACTGCTGTCACTTCGTTTCTAGGCACATACGCTGAATAGAAATGCTCAGGCAGGTTGCTTGCCTCCCTGAAAGTTTTTTTTGGAGGTAAGAGAGATATGCTGTTCATAAAATGTGAAACAGCAGCAGCAGCATAGCTGGTTGTCACTGTTAACATGTCACTCCTTCCTAATGCCTGTTAACAATGAACAAGGTATCAGCTGCAACATAGTAAAACTGCATGGCACAAGTCACAGTGAATCTAATAATTTTTCTATACATGCAGATCAAACAATCAAAATAGTTACTCTCTATATTTATTTACTGGCTGGAGAAGTCTCCTCTTATTTACTAGCTGGCAGTTTCTCAGAGCACATTTAGAAGGCATATGGAAAACTGCTTGTTATACATTTGATGCTGCAATTTTTTGTGCTACAAGACAAAGTAGCATAATTCACACAAAAGAGAAAGCAAATAAAGAGAATCAAAATGCATCAAATGAAACATGCACAGCAATAAATCCTCACTGTTACCATGCTCTGTAAATATCTGATTTGGAAATGTTTACATATGTCAAACCAGTCATGTCTAAAAGCTGATAACAGGAGGGGACACACATTTCAAAAACAAAGAGACATTGGGATGACATTGCCATAACCCTAAGAACATATATCCTTCAGATTTCAGACAGGTGGCAAATACATTTTCTCTTCTGCTTTTCTGTGGGGCAGCCCAAATTTTCCTGTTTGTCCTTTAGCAGATTTTGAAACAAAACATCTGTAAATATCAATAGCGTTCCTGTCCATGCAAGCATTTTGAATCAAGTAATGAACTACAGTTTGGCTTGTGTTCCTATATCCAAATTAACTTCTGCAATTTCTAGCTTTGGGACACTCATCTGACCTCTCAAGATTTCATTTCACACCTCTTTGAAAAATGAAACATGTATTGCCCAAACAGGTATTGCAAAGCTTGCTTAGCATCCATTTCTCAAGTGAACAGGTTCTGAGTTTTCTTTTAAGACGTTTGCTAAGAGTACAGAAAAGAATGTGCATTAGGGAAGAGAAAGCAGTCATGGAAGAAGGAAGGGAGGGCATGCAAGTTATTTTCAGGGATTAAAAGAGGTAAAGGAGGTCAGCAGCTTTACTTCAAATAGTGTAACTTCGAAAGCCTGATTAAAAGTAAGACAGTGATGTTCACACCACTGTTTTATCTCGACATAGCAAGAGGCATAATTTCTTAAACAAATTTCAAACTGGTGTTCATATTTCACATGCTAAATTTGAAGGATAAATAAATAAAATGTCTCAAAACATTGGAGGAGTTGCTCATCCCTGACAAATTTGTTTGCCAAATTTCCTTGGTTAAACTGTGTAACTCAGAAAAAAAAAAGGACTGTATATTAAGATGACTGAACTCACCACTTTGTCACATGTGTAAATTTGATGAATGATTAACTGTACCTTTTTTGTGCATTCCCTTGAGTACAACTGTGAGAGTATGCGAATTCATTTACTGTTTGGAGAGAAGGAAGGAATGGATGCTCTAATAGCCAATGTTATTCACACTGTAAATAACTTACTGACAGCATTTCTAGATAAAGCTCATCCATTAGGAATATTTTAAGAATGGCTATGGATTAATTATTTACTATTTCCTATTGAAGCCAATAAGGAATCTATACTTTATATGATGATTCAGATTCACCCCTGCTATGTGTGATGCATTGGTTGGCAGATTTTTTCATTCACTTGATCAGTTCGCAGTGGGACAAGCAGAAGGGAAAAAAAGGAGAGAAGTGTTGCCAAAAAAAAACCCAAAAAACACAAAACATAAATCAACAATACTAAACTTAAGTTAAACAGGCTACTGTGACCAAACAAAAAAATAAACCATGTGCAAGAGTGCCTATTTGATTGTGTACTTAATAGCAGAAAAAAATGTTTCTGCAATTCTTCCATACAGATGTTTTTTTTTGTTGTTTTGTTTTTAAATACAGATTACATATTTTGCTTGGAGTTTAAATCTGGATGTTCTGTACAAATTGAGTTTGATTTTATAAATTGCTAATGATCATTTACACACATTTGATGTCAAGAACACAGTCTTACTGGTAGTACTGTGCTAGTTTTGTGAAGTGGTACATTTCAGAAGTGGTTCTGAACCATGTAGGAATCGCAGAACATTCAAGCATATCTGCAGGTGATTTCATTTGCTATATATGGAAGCCAGGTGTATGTGCTCATTCATTTCTCAGAAAAGCTAATGTATATTCCAGTTGGATGAAAGCCATAGGTCAATTTTTAACTAAGAATAGTCTACCAAAAGAAAGAAGGTTAAAAAGACAAAAGACTATTCATACATCTTACTAAATTAAATCTAACATGAGTTATATAGGGAAGAGGAGAGCAATATATAGGTAATAATAGGTTCTCCTCAGAAAAATCAACTGTGCAAATTTTTGTACTCTTTTTATAAATATTAAAAGGTTATATATGCATTTTCTTTGTGTTTTAAACAGCTGAAAGCATGAATGACAGTTAAGTCTTATGACAGAATACAAAGGAATTCAACAGTCACACAAAATTATATGATAAACAGAACCATTACCCTGGCTGTTGAGAAAGTAAAAGCTTATGAGAGAACTTAGCACGCACAGCATCTTAAGAAACTTTTTATCTTCTATTGATATCTTTTGTTGAGGGCCCTCTCTATATAACAAATAAGTCTAGGACACTTTCTTCGTTTACTTACTCATAATACCACTGCCTTTACCTGGTGCTGTCCTTTGTTCCGCATGATTAAGTGTGAAAAATAAAAAAATAAATATAGGATCATTCAAAATAGTTAGTAATTAAGTGTTGGTAAAGATTTTATTTAAAGAATGAAAAAAGGTATCTTTCATATATTAAAGAAGTTGAGATAATACGCTAGCTTAAGGCAACTGCCTGAATCATTAATCTCTTATTCCTTTTGCCAATTCATATTCTGTAACTACAGATTTTGTAATATTGTTCCACAGAAAATAAAAGTCTCAAGAGACTTTTTCCTTTCCTCTAAAAAAAAATCTGCCAAGCATTTGCAATGTTTTGAATGCTAAGTCATCTGCCTCATCTCTCGTGTCTTGCCTACTATAATTTCATGTTGAACGAAAGAGTGCTTCAGTTTTCCAACTAGATGGAAATAAACAGCTTCAACAGTAACAAAAATATTCATCTACCTTTGAGATATTTTTTTCCATCCCAACACATCATATAAAAACAGGAAATTTCATGAGTACCATGAATGTACAACTTACATATTTTCTACTTTGTCATACATTGAATGTACCAGACCCAGTAACTGAACAGTACTTATTCCGTAAGTTATTAAATTCAGCAAGTATTAAGAATATATATCCGTACTTAAAACCTATTTCAGGAAAACCTTTTTTTTTTCCCCATCTTTGATGGGCACAGAAGCACATCATGCAAAATAATGTGGACACAACTAATTTAGACTACAGGTTTTTTTGGAAGGCGAATCTGAGCAAAAAGGTTTTTAAAAAATTCTCTACATGAATTAAGTCCAGATTACAGTATATTAGTTGGGCATGATGATGAATCTTGCAAAATCAACGTTTGTTACTTCTGAGAACATCATTTCATCAGGAGTCAGAGATGACACTAATAACTAAAGCATTACTTGAGATTTTTCTTATTTATTTTTCTTCCTATTCACTTCATTTTCTAAAGCATCAGACAACATGATCCCTCTACATGCTTTTATTTGCTCTGATGTAAGGG